TTCGAGCTTGTCATGGATGATCTCCAAAATTTGTTTAATCTCGCCGACATCCTGCTGGATGGTTTTCACCTCTCCTTCAACCGACAGCAAGCGTGTGGTTGATGATCGTGGCGAGAGAATGGAGGCTTGCTCCACTTCTTTGTTGACGATAGAAGAGTCACCAATGTTGATCGACTTCTTTCCCGCCATACAACCTAGAAAATCGGGATTCTCTGATACCAATTTGATGCAGCACCTCACAAGGTTTTTTTAAGAAATGATTCAATGCACTTTCATTAAAAGGCTAAACCTATTTATAGAGGTTTCAAGCTTAAGAATTACATGAGTAACTATTGTTACTGTGCAGTAAAAGTAAAGCTACTAAAATAAAAGCTATAACAGTAGCTAATAATCGAGAAAAGCTATGAAGAGCTACTTAACTACATCAAGTGTGGTTTCCTTCCGGCAGAGGTAAAGATAAGCCATAAGGAGTTGGGGCCATTCTCAGTTCGCATATCAGATTGTAAACCGTCAAGTAGGTCTCGGCCAGGAGACTCTTTTTTTGAATTTGCGTCACAGTCTAACTCCCTGGACATTGCCAGATACCAAACAGTTATGGGAATTGAAAGGTCTCTTCCGAATGGCTTTGATATTTACTCAAATACAAGATTGTTTTTTTTGCCCCAAGATGGTAATGAATCGGTTGGACTTCCGGCCAATGATAGGCGACGGCCTCAATCCCCTGAACAGTTGGCAATTAATCAAGGAACTCTAAAAGAGAAAGCTTAAAAGACAGCCTCTCCTTGCCCGCTGTCGTTTAGTGAAAATGCTCCAAAAGAAATTGGCTTTAATAAAAGCTCGGATGGAACGCCAAATGTATTTAAATTATCTTCATTCCCCATGACAGCAAGGAAGCCAAACAGTTGGGTGGTGCCATTCCCGCTCTTTTATTCAAGAAATAGGGGGAATAAGGTGGCTAATAATGATCTCGAGAGATTAAATAAGGCTGAAGAAGTAAGAACCAATTTAATCACAGCATTTAATGAAGAAAGAGGCTGCCCTTCCTCTGGTAAGGTTTCGATTCCATCAAAGGAACTCGATGGCCATCTTCCTCCCTCCCTTTCACAAGGAGCCATTAATTCTACCAATCAAATTCCTTCCTCACTACCAATCAAATTCCTTCCTCGCCTCCATCTCCAGATATCTCTCTCGGTGACAATTCAGAATTAGCATTAGCAGCCCGGATTCTTCACCGGTTGTTAATTCTTTTGACACTTCGGATGAAATTCTTAGTGAGCAACGATCGAGGCAGATTTGAACCAGTTGTTCTTTGAAGAAGCTGGGAACGAAGAGCCGACATTTTTTCCTTCTTTCTTTAAGGAAGCAGGAATCAATCTAGTGCCTATCCCTAAATCACAATGAAGGTTATATCTTGGAACATCAGGGGGCTGTGCAAGGATGACAAAAGATTGAAAGTCAAGAAGTTCATTCAGAATCATTACCCAGACGTAGTATGCTTTCAAGAAACAAAGATCTGAGTAGTTTGATCCAGAAACCATCAAATCCCTGTGGAGTTCCAAAGATATTGGTTGGGCAGTCGTAGATGCTCTTGGAAAATTTGGAGGCATTTTAATTATGTGGGATGAAAGCCAAATCAGTGTGAAAGAAGTAATCAAAGGGTGGTACTCTCTGTAGATCTCTATTTCATTTTCTGGCATAGACAATATTTGGCTTACCTCTGTTTATGGTCCAACAGATTACAGAGAAAGGAAATTCTTCTTGCAAGAAATCCGTGACATCTCATCTTTACCTGGAAAATACTGGTGTATTGGTGGCGACTTCGATATCATCCAATGGCCTTCTGAAAGATCATCTTGTACTCGATTGACCAAAGCTATGAAGAGATTTAACAAATTGATTCAGGAGTTAGAACTGGTAGAAATTCCACTCGCCAATGGTAAGTATACTTGGTCTAAACCTGGTCTAGAATCCAATCACTCCCTATTGGATAGATTTATGGTTTCTGTTGGTTGGGAAGAAGCCTTTTCTAACTCCAAGATGACTCGTGCTGAAAGAACTACATCTGACCATTTTCCTATCATATTGGAAGCTGGTAATTTCCATTGGGGACCAAGTCCGTTCAGGTTCTTCAATTCGTGGTTGTCCAATAAAGACTGCATTGGTATTATTTAAACAAAGCTGGCTAATGATCAATCATATGGTTGGGCAGGTTGTACTCTAAATTTCAAACTGAGGAATTTAAAATCTTCTCTTCGAAGTTGGCATTTGCAGAATGAGAAGAATAAGAAGGAAGCAGAGATTAATATCATTCAGCAAATTTCTTCTTTGGATTTCAAAGAGGAAGACTGTGGCTTATCTACTGATGAAATTAAAAATAGATCTGATCTCCGGGTGGATTTACTGAAGTTATACGTGGAAATTGAAAGGAATTTATTCCAAAAAAGCAAGATTCAGTGGCTGAAGGAGGGTGATGAAAATTCCAGTTTTTTCCATAAATATCTTGCAGCTCGTAAATGGAAAACAGTTATCTCAGAGCTGATTAATGAGCATGGTAAAACGTTGATTAATTTGAATGAAATTAAGGAAGAGATTTTTACCTTCTTCGGAAGGTTATATAGTGCAAAATCTGGTCCTAGATTGTCTCCCAGGGGGATTAATTGGCGTCCTATCTCATCTGTGGATCGGGTATGGTTGGAGCGGTCTTTTGATGAATCAGAAATCAGGTTGGCAGTAGAGGGTCTTGGCAAAAATAAAGCTCCGGGGCCAGACGGATTTACTTCATAATTCTTTGTTCGTTTTTGGCAGCAACTGAAAGCGGATTTTATTTGGTTGTTCAAAGAGTTTCACAGTCATGGGTGTATTAATGCTTGCCTCAAGGAGAATTTTATTTGTCTTATCCCAAAAAAGCAAAGGCAGCCCAGATTCGAGATTCTAGACCTATTAGCCTATGTTCTTCTATTTATAAGATTTTGGCTAAGGTCTTAGCAGAACGCCTCAAGAGGATTATGCCTTCTACAATCTCAATTAACCAAAGTGCCTTTATTGAAGGAAGAAATATCCTTGACCCAATATTGATAGCCAATGAAGCTGTGGAAGATTACAAGGCACGGAAATGCAGTGGCTGGTTGCTAAAGTTAAATTTAGAAAAGGCATTTGAAAAGGTTGACTGGGCCTTTCTAGATGATGTTCTTACTCAAAAACAGTTTGGGAAAAAGTGGCGGAGTTGGATCAATGGATGTGTAAGGGGAACTAAGTTCTCAATCTTCATTAACGGAAGACCTAAAGGACGTATCTTGGCTTCTAGGGGCTTAAGGCAAGGTGACCCCCTTTCACCTTTCCTTTGCCTTCTAGTAGGAGACGTCTTCAGCAGCGTTTTGGACAGCATACACAGGGCAGGCTTTTTTGAAGGATTTCTGGTTGGCAAGGACAAGATCCATATTTCCCATCTGCAATTTGATATTCTCATTTTCTGCAAAAATAATGATGGCATGTTGGATAATCTTATTCAGGCTATTAAAGCATATGAAAGAATGTCGGGATTCTCCGTCAATTGGGAAAAATCGGCAATTTGTGGCATCAATATACAAGCTGAAAAAGTTAAACAGAGGGCTGATTCATTGAATTGTCACATTGCTACCATTCCATTCTCATATTTAGGGCTTCCGTTGGGAGGCAATCCGAAATCAGCAGCATTTTGGAGCCCTATAATGGAAAATTGAAAAAAAGTTGGATAGATGGAATCGGTTTCAACTTTCAAGAGGAGGTCGGTTGACACTTTGTAAGTCCGTCTTATCCAGCCTCTCTTTATTATATGTCATTGTTTCAAATGCCTTCAGGAGTAAGCAAACAAATTGAGAAGAAAATGAGATCTTTCCTTTGGAAGAGTGGCTCTTCAGGGGCGTTGAATCATCTTGTACATTGGAACAAGGTGACTAAGCTTTTGGAAGATGGAGGATTGAGGATTGGAGGTCTTTCCAAGCAGAACAGCACTCTTTTACCTAAATGGGGTTGGAGGTTTGGAAACGAATCTAGTGCTTTGTGGCGCAAAGTTATAGTAAGTTTGTATGGATCGTCGGGATTTGGGTTGGTCCTCCGGAGGTATGATAAATGGCTGCCTAAGAAGACCATGGATTAACATTTCTCATCATTGGAAGCAGTGGAGTCAGTTTGCAGTATTCAAGCTTGGTTCGGGGGATAGTATTCTGTTTTGGTCTAACAAATGGATTGGAGAGCAGAGCAGCCATTCAAAGATAGATTTTCGAAGATCTACCGAATTTCTCTCAATCCTAATGTGTCAGTTGCTGATTTTTGGGATGTCCAGACACTAGCGTGGAAAATTTCAACTAGAAGAGCACTAAAAGATGAGGAATTTGAGGAATTCAGTTTGATGTTATCCTTGTTGCATTCTCATTCTCCTTCAAATGAACCGGATAGAAGATTATTGTCACTGGACAGTTCAGGTTTGTTTTCCGTGGCTTCAATTTGTAAGTTGCATTTTGGTTCCTCTATGCCAAATGCCCTATTTAGAGCCATTTGGAAATCTAAATGCCCAAAGAAGGTCAGCTTTTTTACTTGGATTCTAATCTATGGGAAAGTTAATACAAGTGAAGTTCTACAAAAGAAGATCCCGAATCTCAGTCTACAGCCCTCGGTTTGTGCTCTTTGTCAATCCAGTGAAGAAATTTTGGTGCATCTATTCTTCTTCTGTTCTTTTGCTAAGTATTGTTGGAACTCTTTATTAGAAAAATTTAACTTGGCTTGGGTCTTTGACAAGACAGTGGCAGAAAATATGATCCAAATTCTCTCAGGGCCTTATTTAAATCCAAAGGCATCCTTACTGTGGATTAATGCGGTAAAAGCAGTGGTGTATGAAATATGGTATGAAAGAAATCTTAGGGATTTTGAAGATAAGAGGCAGCCCCCTTCAGCTCGTTTCGACATCGCTAGATTTAAAGCCTCGCAATGGAGTTCTTTATCGCCGTTACTTAAATCTTATTCCCCTAGTCTAATTTACTCTAATTGGGATGTATTTATGACCATTTTTTAAGTTTGAGCTTTAATTCTATTTTCACTCTTTCGAGAGTTTGTATCTTTGAACAATTTCAATGAGAAGTTCGTATCTTGTTAAAAAAAAAACAAAAAACAAAAAACAACAAAATAAGAAAAACAAAAAAAAGATCATTTCCAAATATGTGTCCACACGTACATGCAAGGGAAGATAACAAGCAAAAAATACATGTTTCATAAAATAGATTATTAACATGAAATTGCAGAAAAGCTACATGCAAATGTCAATGTAAAATCTGTGCATACTTCCTTCAGTTAGTCAAAATCCATTATACTACTAAAAATTTTGAATTTAGAAAGTGATTTTAGCACTTTCACTGCCAAAATCACTACCATTTTACAATGACATGTTTGATAATAATTTTCAAGTAATTTTGGAAGAATCCAAAATCACTTTAAGTGTCTGACTAGTCAATCACTTCAGAGGTGATTCCCAAGTGATATTTGGTAAAAAAAATTAATCGAAAATTAGCGTTAAAAATAGTTATTGTTTTAAATTTCAAATTTGCCTTTCTATTTCAGCTTATTTTTACCTTAAAATTTGAGAATTTTTTTTCTAAAATTTCTGTCACTCTATAACTTTATTTAATTTTGTTTATCTCTCTAATTTGTTTCTCTAAAATTTTTACAATCTCTCAATATTTTTATTTCTAATCTCGTTTCTAAGTTTACTTCTCTGTCTAAATTTTAATTTCTCACTCTAAAGTTTCTCTCTCTAAGATTTTTGTTCCTCACCAACGTTGGTCAAATTCTCTCTTTAAACTTGTACAAACGACCAAAGTCATTCAAAATCACCAAATATTAATCATTCAAAATCACTTTTAATTATATAAAAATCACTTGAAAAAGTGTGTAACCAAACGTTAAAATAATTATATAAAAATAACTTTTACAAAATCAATTATCATTAAATCTCTTTGACTAAAATCACTCATTATAAAATCATTCTCATACATGCCCCTAAAAACACATTTGGGGCATAAATTCCTAATAGTTACATATTCGACCTCAGTGGCCAATACTTGTCCCTATCACCTGTAACTTAGCATATTATGTACGTGGAAGGTCCTAAGCATTATTCTGTATGGCTAAATAAAATATAAGGAAAATTTTCCATGTTCTTGATGTGGACCAACTTGATTTATTTATTTTCTATTTTAAGTATTTCTATGTTCATTTATTAAAAGCATACATGTTATGGAAAATGGGTGGTAAGTGAATGAATGCAGATATCAAGTAGGGAAATCATACTTCACATGTTATACTAAATTTGAAGAGAGAAAAATAATAAGATAGAAAGACTTACCCAATACCACCTAGAGGAATGCCATGAGTATCAGTTATACGGCGTTTGGCAAAGGGATTTATCATTGCACCCTGAAATGCAGACAAGAAAAAGTATTCAATAATTGCTAGATCCATTCGGTTACAAACCTAAGAATGAAACTAATCCAGGCATATATTACTATATAGATCGTTACCCTTCCTTTCCCAGATTCTTCTCGGATATGGCGAATTAGCCTGAACCCTACTGGAGCCTAGTATAGAAAAAGAGAAATAATTTATACAAAACACAATGATCCTGGAAACATTTATTTTATGAAATAGGCAATTATGCGGTTTTATTTACAATCTATCATAATTCAGATATAAAAGAAGACTAAACCCTAGATGAAAGTATATATTAGGAAACAAAATAATGAATACCAACTTCTTAGATGTCAAGAAATACTGAACCATTCAGCCACCATCCATATTACACACATGATATTAAGAGGAATAATAGAGATCTAAAAGTAATTATCTTAAATTCAAAATACCAGATGAATTATCTCTTTCAGACGCAACCTGAACTGCGAAAGCGAGATTCCTTCGCTGTTTAGTTTTCGTTGCCAGGTCAGTGATGGGGGTTTCCCTTTATCAATGCTAGTCTATACATATTGAGAAAAGTTAAGCCATCAGAAGAAAAAAGATCGTCAGTCGGAGTAAACATTTCTCTAGAAATTAATGATAGTAGATGCATTTTTTGTTAAATACGGAGTCATCCCCCATTTTTCACACTGTGAGCCTTACCAAGGTTCACAAGCAAGAAAAAGATGCACTGAAAATAAAGTCTTCATAAACACATCCTTAGTTTCATTTATTAAATAAACAAACTAAATCATCTTCTACATGACTAGTATGAAACTAACCTCCAAAATAGTTTTTATGATGTAGGATAGATAAATGATTGAATAGTGGGAGGAATAACTCCCAATATGCCCACAAAAATATTGAAGAAATTTCTTTTCTAGTCATAGGCCATGCTTATAAATAATTTACTAATTGATAAACATGGCCGCCTAGGACTAGAATAGAGCTTTGCTACAATGTTTTTGAGCACATATTGGGAGTTAGTCCTCCCACTATTCAATTTTTTTTCTATCCTACATCGTAAAAACTCTTTTGGAGGTTAAAGATTTAGAGCACAACACTTTGAAACTACATGACTCTAAGTCTTAAAATTGCGAGCATAAAGCAAAGAGCAATAGCAGAAGTACAAGACCTAAACTTATTGGTTGTACAATCTCAAATGGAACTACAGTGAAGGTTCCAAGGAGGGCACACACTTGGAGGTACCAAGGTGGAGGCAGGACAAACAAATCAATTCAAACAACAGTGTTAGTAGGAGGCCAAAACGAGACACCCACGATAACTAGAGGCCATTGCACCTTACACATGAAGGTTCGTGATTGCAAGTGGGGCGTACAAGAAGAGGTTGCACGGGAGGTCACTGGCTAGCACCAATGCTCACAAGAGGCAAGCAAGTTGAGGAGGGGCGCTTGAGTTTAACCAAGCGTAAAACCTCAAGGCCATCGTCACGCAAGGACCTGGAAGATGGACAAGCACGCAAATTGTGAGCATGTGCATCGATGGAGAAGAGGCAATGTGCAACATGTCTCAACCCTACTATAAAACAGTGGGTTGAGATCCCACCTGAGCGAGCAAGCGGTAGTGACATGCATGTATCACCCATCGGGCTATGTTGAGGGCCAAGAAGAGAAGTGTCGTGATGCAACCAAAGAGGATGGTGCATCACCTAACACACCAAGACCATGTGCGTAAGAAAAGCTAACTAAGGCGCAACACAAGCAAGATTAGAAGCAACGGCAACATCAGTGGTGTTACTGACAAGCTTAGTGAAGGGCAGTTGGGGTCCCAAGCCATGACCCTAGAATTCGGACCTGCATCGAGAGCTTGGACGAGCTGCTTTGGGTCAAATGTATATATTAGTAGTAAGATATCCAAGCACACTAGTTTGCATGTCCATCGAAGATCATGCATGTGCTCCACACTAGCACGCTCCTCGCGACTTATGGCATTCATGGGTGCCATAGTTAAAACGCCTTAGAAAGTACCTAAGGGAAAGGCATGGTGTTGGCTCTCCACCACCCCTTGGCCATATGAGAGCCTAAGTGGGACACCCATGGCATATGCATATGTTCATAGCGTGGACGAGTGTCTTGGGTGACTTCCTTTGAGGATTAAAATCTCAATGACAATGTCGGATGGTACGAGTGTGCCAGCATTGCGCCTTGTCTCATGGGTCAAAGTTTCGTTGTAGCCTCGAGCTTTGGCACATTGCACAAATGAGATGGCATGGCGAAGTTAAAGGAGGTGTGCCTTGCATGGAGGACATGTGGCAAGCCAAGAAGGATCCATGGGAGTCAAGGGCAATTATGGGCGGTTAGACATCCTCAAGATTGTTATATGTGATTAAGGTAAGTATACTCTCTTCTCTCTCATCCCTCTCCTTCCTATCAACCCTCATTTCCTGTAGTTAAAGGTAACCATTGAAAATTGTAGTTGTAGCTTAAGTGGTTAAGATACAGTTTTTAGTCTTTTAATATTGCTCCTACCATGGAAATCATAGTTACTATGTTGAGAACAAGCATTTTTGCATATGGTTTGAAGAGGAATGCTATTATATTGAAGGCATGAGTGTCAATGAACTGCTGCCTATTGGCACATGCATGGTTGTTAGTTCGCCTATCTGGCGTGCATCCTGCACATGTGTCACGCATAACCTTTGTTCCACACTCATTTGCATGCTCACGACGTGCACGTTTGTCCATCTACCAAGTCCTACTGCTATTCTCTTTGCACTCGCCTCCTTGCATGATGATGGCCTCGAGATTGTGCTCTTGGTTGGCTACAGGCACCCGTTCTCTGCTTACCTCTTGTGAGCATTGGTGATGTTCAAATTATTCCTGTATATTTATGTTGACAATTTCAAAAAACTATTCATATTATGATCATAGTATGATGGCAGTCGAGAAAGTATGCACCCATCATCTAATCGTTGAAGACATCTCTCTTTCAAGGAGGCAGCGGGGGATTCGACTTCCCTTGGGAGTAGGGTACTACAAAAGGAAGTTGATCATGGATTATCAATAAGCTTGGAATTTATTCTTCTCATGTCAATGCCCGAGCCGTTAATAGGGATGGACTGTAAATTCGTTGGCTCCACCGATGACCTCCTCTGCACCCTCCAAGTGACACACCTAAGCATTTTGTGGACAACAACAAGGCACATCAGGATATATTCTTGAGGGAGGCCACCTAAGCTGCAGTCCAAGGACACACGTAGATATGCCTTTTTAAATAGCAGACTATTAATAGCCAGGCTTCCTTAGCCTTCCCCATGGTTCCTTCTTATGGGGGATGGATTAAAATTCGGAATCTGCCATTAGATAGATGGAACGAGGAAACCCTGCGCTTTATAGGCAACAGTTGTGGAGGATACATAGAGGCATCAAAGAAAACCCTCTCTCGTCTGGATCTCATGGAAGCCACTATCCGGGTCACAAAAAACCCCACTGGATTCATCCCAGCAACCATCCTTTTAAGCTTTGCTGAAAATGTTCAATCGATGGTACAGATTGACCCTTTTTTTACCACAAAGTATTACGTTGGTTATCTAGCCGGAATCCATGGAGATATACCGCCGGAAAATCCCGTTTTCCAACCACTCGGTGGTGGTGATGGAATCCTAGGACCGTACCCTCGAGCAACACAATCTGACAGTCCTTCTTGCCGTGTTTCAGACGAAATAGAGCTGCCAGCCGTCCTTCCTTCTCTGTTTTCTGACAAGAGCGGCCCATAAATCCCCCTTTTGGATATCCCTGCAGAACCACAGACAAAGCCCTCCTTGGAGATTGGAGTTAATAGCTTAAAAGGGAAACATATTTTGGGAGACTGTGTTTCTTCCAGCATACAACCTTATTACCC